TGTAAATTACGAGGCATAACGACTACATCGCAAATAAATAAATCATTGTAATGTATCTGGCCGGTGAAGCGGCAAATGCAGATGTAATCGTGTTCGCTGCCCGCTTGTACATACAAATAATTCAAAGTGATGGGACACATCCCTGATCTGTACAAGAAAGATGATCGAATTAAAAGATCTCGATTGATCGCAACTTAGGGAAAAATACAGACCACAGACCATGCCAAACGTTTTGTAACTCATAAGACTCGAATTGATAATGGCTAAATTAGTCTTTCCAATTCTTTGGTTTGCTTTTTAAAATCATAAACACAAAATGTATGTCTAGCTTTTTAGAGAGTATTCTATCAATTTAATTATTTGATTCAAAGTAGATCTTATTACATAAATAAAAATAAGTAACTACCTTTTGGACGCAATCCCTAAAGTTAGCATTTGGACTACGCAAAATACATTATAGATGCAATAAATTAAACAGAAGAATTATAAATCAATATCTTGATAAAAGTTTGCCAAAAGCATGCTGTTCTCGATCGAAAATTCCAGACATCGAGTGGGCAGACGCTGCCCATCACTAAAGAGATCGCCATTCTCGAGCAAATAGATAGTTCTCACTTCCGACACGTGTTTCCGCGAGGGCGCTAGTAGGTGGTCACGTAGAATATTGACGCCTCAAGCTATCCGACAATACCTACTCGCCAAGAGACATTTTTATGTGGAGCTGTGATATAAATCATTCCTGCAGCAGCAACACGATAAATGTAACTTTGTGTAGAATTTAGATTTTTACATTGCTTTCACACTGGCGAAATTTTCAAATGTACCTAATTTGATATGACGCAACGCAACTCCATAAATATTGACGAAGTAAAAAAGTACTGAAACAACAGTTTTATCCATTTATTTGTGTTATCTATATATATAAAAATGAAACCCGTTTCGCGTTGTCACGTCATCACGTGTGAACGGCTGAACCGATTTCGATAATTCTTTTTTTTTAATGTTTGTGGAAGTCCAAGGATGGTTCTTACGGAAAAAAATATTAAGAAAATCTCTACGCTAAGGCGGTACGAAGTTCGCCGGGTCAGCTAGTTTTGAATAAAAATAAAAATTAACTTTGAGGTAGGGTGACGGCACCAGTAATGGACACGGCACCAATTATGGACATGTTTTTCGTTGATCGAATTTTTTAAGCAACTGTCGCAACATTTTGAACTGGCAACACTAAAATCACAACCAATAGACGTTTGGGCTATCATTTTGACACACGTCACCAAAATCGGCCACTTTGTTTTAACATAGCTGCGAAGTGAAATCTCGTTGCGCGCGGTGGTCATGAAAATCCGTTTATACTATTGAAATCGTTTAGGAAGTGAGTACATATTTGTGCATGGTGTTATCTTGTGTTGTGTTATAATGAGATTTGATGTTATTTTTACTGAATAATAATAAATAGCAAGTAAATTGAGCTAAGTTTTAAATGTCCAATCACAGCCATAAGTTTTTTGTGGGGTTTGTTCATTACTGGATTCGAAATTTTATGAAATCCAGTAATAGACAAGTGTCCATGCTTAAGGCTTTTATAACTTTTTTAGTTTATTGTATTTAATTATTTAATTTGACGCACTAAACATTTGAGTTGAGTTGATTTTGTGATAACTCTTTATTTTCCAATAATGGACGATGTCCATAACTGGGTATTTTTAGTTGTCCATAATTGGGTTCTTTGTTTTGTCTTAAGATGGCACCAAAGAAAAATTACACCCCCGAACAAATGGGGAGAGCATTGGATGTAAGGATGGGAGAAAAGATAAGCACAGCCGCCCTCCGGTTTGGGGTTTCTCGAATAACCTTGCACAACAAGGTGACAGGCAAAAAAGTCCGGCAGTTTGTATGGGGCTTCTATACTATCCTCACGGCACTGGTAAAATCACATATGCTCGGTAGTGTAGCGGGGTATGCGGGGGTGGTGCGGGTGGTAACAAGCACCGTCTCGAAAGTTTAGGAGATGTTTGAATAAGGTTTTTTACTAGTAAAGTAATAGATTAAATAAAATTTTATTTATATTTTTCTTGTAATTACTTTCATGTGTACTGAGATGGGTGTTGTTTTACAAAACCACATACTGTATAATCTTTCTACATTGAAGAATAAATGCTTTTTCAGTCATAGTTGTACTAGGAAAAAAAGTAAACTTTTTTTATCGTTTTTTTTTAAATATTTTAATTGTGTTTTATGGGTGTTCGTTAGCATAATATATCTTGTCAGTCTCACCAGTAATGCCGAAGTCTGCGTCAAGTCAAGTTGCGGGCGCGCCATTCGACGCTTCGTTAATAACAAAGCTGAAAGTGGCTCTAGATTTGTAAATTTGTATTGCTATGATTCTAATTTCTTACCTGATAGATCTCAGTTATGTATTTATATTATGTTACAAATTCTAAGCTTCAGTTGCTGTCAAAGAGGCAAAGCCTCAATTAATGTTTAATAAAATAAATAACATTATAAATGATTGAAATTCTGATAGTAAGTACTTATAACTTGGAAATCTAAGACTGATCATGTTGAAAGTTCAAATAGCATAAATAAAAGTTGATTTGAGGTATCATTTGTTTCATTTATGTGTTCAATATAAAAGTGTCCATTAATGGATGTTCATAATTGGGTCCATGTCCATAACTGGGTGTCCATTACTGAAATTTTGATGTCCATCAATGGTGATTTCGTCAATTTATGTATTTTTAATTAATATATATTAAACATACAGGATTATTAGTTTTATTTAAATGTTCCTCATCTATTTGAGTGCCGAAAAAAAAATCACCATTATTGTATCATCATAAAACATCACATTTTTAAACAAAATTCTAATTTAGTGCCTTAACATGTCCATGATTGGTGACGTCACCCTATAACTATACAAAATTTATTTACATAAGAAATAAATCCTTGTCAGACATGAGCTAACTGTCAAAGACAAACCTCCAATACTGATCGTAATATTAAGAGCCGCAGCTTATTCGGCTGTAATATAAAGTCGGCTGTATGACTCGAATATTTCCGTGTCTAGCAAACTTTCCGCCTCTCGCCATTTATGCTAATCGGCGTCGCAGACGGGGGCGAAAATCACTTATCGCGAGCCGGCCGATATCTGTGCTGGGACCCTTGTGAATACAAAAAATCGAACCGTAACCGAGTCACAATCGGGTTATGCGTTATTATATTTTCGCTGATGTTTCTAGCGGTTAGAGAAGTGAACTCTCTCGATCAGAAGGTCATGGGCTCCCAGAATGAGATACGTAGATTGAAAATAGTCCGTAAGTAGTTCTTGTAACTCAGTTAGGTTAGGATATTTAAATATGAAATTGATTCTCAGTAAGTTGGCTTATAAAAATTACTACTAGAAATACGATATCGGCTATCGATCCAATGATGCCAAGACAAACATTGGAAAATTACAATTATAAATTCAGTATAAAATTTCATTGTACAAATTGACTTTAGAAGACGTCTCATTAATGCCAACTCATCTCTCGATTTGAATAGAAATGATAAGCTAATTTTAATAAAGCGAAAATGTATTTAACTTAACAAAGCACTATTTCAGAATCTTTCAGTTGTGATTGAACCAGTACCTATAAGCTTAACTTGTAAAAGCTGTTGGATTTCAGCAGTATTTTATTCGCTCTGCTGAGATCACTGAGTAACAGACACGCATGACAAAATGTGGTCTACCAATATGCCTCGAATCTTGCAGAACTACATCTGTATGTGTTATTTGGCAGGATCTTGCATCTGACAAGAGAGAAATACCCTTGCATACACGGTAGATAGGATACCTAGTAATATTTGAAAGTTTGTGAGGAAAAGTACAACCAACCTACCATCCACCTAGGATGGTTGTTACTTTTTCATGCAATAACTACTAAATGGATTTAAACTTGAAAGCATTATTATTTAATTGGCCAAGTTACAACGATAAGTGATAAGTCAGTCACTGTGCGACATACTGAATGTCAGGCTGGATAATAATAATTTTAAAGTAGCTTTGTTAATGTTCAGGTACTGTCTTTTAACATTGTAATAATCAATAAATAATCACATTGGAAGTCCACAATAACAGTATTTTAAACCATTAATTTGAACGACCGCAATCAGCGACTACGGCGCTTTTTATAGATCGGTTAAAATGGCAAAAAGTGATAAAAGATAATCCATTGGGAGACTGTTGACCTATCCTCGTGGCTATTTAAACAATGTAGTATAATTATTCAATACTAGCTTTCCGCCCGCGGCTTCGCCCGCGTGGAATTTTGTCTGTCACAGAAAAACTTTATCGCGCGCGTCCCTGTTTCAAAAACCGGGATAAAAACTATCCTATGTTCTTTCCCGGGACTCAAACTATCTCTATGCCAAATTTCATCAAAATCGGTTGCGAGGTTTAAGCGGGAAAGCGTAACAGACAGACAGACAGACAGAGTTACTTTCGCATTTATAATATTAGTTGGGATTTATCTATCCGATGTAAAAAAAAAACTGTAAAATAGGATTTATTTTTAAACAGTTGTAAAATGTGCTGATTGACGTATAAACAGAAATGAATGGAAAACTGAACTTCCATCCAACATTATTACATAGTTTTATGTAGATACTAGCTTTTGCCCGCGGCTTCACCCGCGTCAAATTTGGTTTGTCAGAAATCGTCATAAATTATAGTCTATAATGTTATTCTGGGTCATAAACAATCATACTGTAAAGTTTCATCAAAATCCGTTCAGTAGTTTTTGGGTGAAAGAGTAACAAACATGTTGACATCCAGACATCCATACAAAACTTTCGCATTTATAATATTAGTAGGATCTATAAAAATTGGTATTAAAATCTGTCGGTGATAGGAGTACTCCATTCTTACTGTCAAACTCCCTTTATATGACCTCTGTCTAGATTTAATATATCATAATCATAAGGCGATGAATAATTTCAATGTTATTTTTCTTTTCCAGCTTTAGGTCTGGAGCCCGACTTCCTATACCCCCTGGAGAACGTGACCATAGCGCAAGGTCGAGACGCCATGTTCACCTGTGTGGTGAATAACCTGGGTGGTTACAGGGTGAGTGGCGACTCCGCCACTGCCAGGGTGTGTATCAAACCGACTCATTACAGCTAGCCATAGAGGAGCACCCTCACGCACCTATGGGTTGAGATTTATAATGGTAAACATTGGCCTGCCGAACTCCAAATTTTCAATCATCAATCTAGAATTTCGTACTTAGAATTTTAACTAAGATGTTGGTTTTGAAACGTTTCGATTTCAATTTTGATTGGTATTGTAACTTTTGTTAGCAGTGTTTGTTATCAATTAATTTGTGAAGCCATACATTTTAAAGTATCATAATTGAATGAGAATTTCATTGTAACTGTTAACAAGAACTTATGGTAATCAATTTTATTAGGACTTTATCAAACCTTTTTGTAGAGTAGATTGACTCATACCTCAAAAACAACTGAACATTATAGATCTCACCCAAATACTTCTGCACTAACTTTCACACTTCTTTAGTACACGACCTCTGCACTTCTTCGCACGGTTTCCAACTCACAAGCACTTCTAGTACTATCTCTATCTTAGCATAGAGTACACGAAACTAATTTGCACAATAAACTGTAACTTTGTCCACGATAGCAGTAGAGCTAGACACTCGCACTACTCGTACTACTCACACTGAACACAATTTAGACTAAAAGCACAGACTAAAAATTCGGAATGTTCTCAATTCTCATAGCTCTTTCTTCTTACTTTGTTCAACACACAATTTACTTTTATTTCACTACTGCACCAACAATTAGAAGTCCAAAATATATTCAAGCATGTTCCCAAGTGCACATTTAATTTTAATATCATAGTGAAAGTAAAGTCAATCATTGTCAAACAAAAACCTTTGGACAAACCACGATGGAGCACCCTCCGTCCAAGGAATTTACGTTGCAAAACAGTCACTTTACGAAATTAAAATAAAGCCGAGCAAACCCCCTGGTCCCCGTTCAATCATTTCGAGAGGCTGCTCTCAAACTGTCCGGAGAGTTAATCCGGAACACTATCTAACGGTCGATATCATAGATTTGTCACGGGGAAAATACGAGTACGTATGTTGTACGATATATTCCATGTGAAAATCAATTAAACTAGTAGATGTACCTATAAACTTAGGCTGCCTAAGTTCAAATAAAAACAAAGGCGCTAAGTATATTGAACCCGTATTTTTTTATTTAAATGGGCGCTTGCTATTGTTAACGATCTGACACGGGAAGTTGTTGATTATAATCTTTAATGTAACAAACTTGCCCTAAACGTTTAGGTTTGAGCGATGAATTTAACTTATTTATAAAGAAAAGCAGATAGGTATTTTTATTTACAAAATCTTATTAAACTAATAAAAGCTAGCAATGCAAATGCTCATACTTTATACGAGCAAATATCAAGGGATATAGAAATACTACTTCGTCCATTCCCATTACAAACACCGATGAGTTAAACCAACAATTCGACCATGAATCGGTTTCCGCAACAAACACTCGCGATAATAGTCTCAATGGGACCGTTAGTTCAGGTCACTCGATTTCTTACGATACTTCGAATCCCCCGACCGGCACATATTTGCTCGGTGTCTATCCCGATAACTAATTACACAACACTAATAACATCTTGCCTTCCGATTCCCTTGAGCCTGAAAACGTTAAGATTTGATGGGAATATTTTTCAACGTCGGAAAACTAATTTCTGTTGGTATCTTGACGTATTACTGGGAAATTAAGCTTTGGAAAAATATTATTCAGTACCTTTTATGTCGATTCAATGGAATTAGTAAACAAAGCAAACTGAGGACCAGACAGTAAGCTCTAACACGTGACTGTTTTAAGTAAGGAATTTCAATATTAAATCTAGAAAAGAAAAGTGGAGAAATATTTATTTATTTAGAGAGTAATCGCATGCACAAATACACACTTCTATTTATAGTAACACCTCACTTCGATATGCACCGCTGGTATGGATGAGTTCAAACTGTGGTATGGTAACTATATTTATCTTATTTATAGTATTATAATGCAATTTTAACTAGTAACTGCTGTAAAAACCTCTACCCAACGTTTCATTAAAGGATTCAAATGTAAAAATCTGACGACATAAGTTAAGATTGCATATTAAATATTTTCCGGTTTTACAATCCTTTCGCAACTCATTTCAATAATGTTGATAGTCTAAGATGTAACAACAAAAGAAAGGATTGTAATTACCCTAACTAAACTAAAACATTCAAGTGTTTCTCTTGCAGCACGATGCTTCAGTGTTTTCGTTTTTCTCCGTAGAGTTAATTTTCACCGTAGGCACCCTATTAGTAACTTAACTAGTGTACCTACTGCACAAGCACTTCTATTCAACTGTTGACCTGTAGATCTGTATGAACCTCTTGCACCTACACCTTGTAGTGCACCTAATTTGCACTCTACTAATATTTGCAATAATTATTATAACAATCAAGAAATCAAATTGTTACTTGAAGACGAAAATCCGAGTAATTTTAATCTCTTATTGAATTGTCACTGCCAACGAAGTAGTGAATGTTGTTTTTAACAATAAAGTTTTAATACCGGAGTCTGAGCGCACCCCAGAGAAGTATAAACGCCATATTTCTGTTCGTTTTTTGTTACGCGCTATGCAGGAAATTAGCTTCTATTGCGATGTCGACGGTTTCGGTAAAGCGGGTGAAACGAGGGCCGTTTTCACAGCGCGCCCGCAGCCGCTCATAGCGGCGACCAGGCCAAAATGTAATTAAAAATTCCGAGAGCATTTTACTAGGAACTCGCAACAAGATAGTGTTGCTTGGCGCTCGAGGATCGTTGTCGTGACTGCCTCTCGGGGGGCATTCGCTTGTAATTAGACTTGTTTGCTGGAACTCTTCATCGGCGTTTTTAGGGCGATAAGCGCAGATAATGTTGCTGTTTTACTAAAAATTGTGTTTGCTCTTTACTTGGGCCGCGGCGTGGGAATGGACGATCGTTGGCGGGATCAGGTAGCGTGGATCAAAGCGGACACAAAGGCGATCCTGGCGATCCACGAGCATGTGATAACGAACAATGCGCGGCTGAGCGTCACACACAACGACTACAATACTTGGACGCTAAACATTAGGGGGGTCAAGCGGGAGGACCGAGGACAATACATGTGCCAAGTTAACACTGACCCGATGAAAATGCAGGTACGATTTTATTTTTTGTATGCGCGCACTTTGTTCGGTATTGAATCATTTTCCATGCAGGGTTTTATTCGGATTCGCAAAATAACCAAGTACAATACTACTACTCTTAGAGACTAAAATAGGCATGTTTTTACATGAGTTGTTTGTACTATTATGCTTTGTTCTTACTGGACTAGTTACTGTTTTAATACTTTACATCACTTCTAAATATTTTGTCGATGTTATCCCCAACAGATATTTCAGTCGATAAGCGAACTAAACAACTTTACGAACAACTGAAATTTTCCTAACCCAGCACGGGTGGCGTGAACGAAACTTTGCCCAGAGTGATTTAAAGATGGAGAAAATTTAAACAACTCACGAACTTTTTTGCATTACAGACCGCGTTTTTAGAGGTGGTTATACCCCCGGATATAATATATGAAGAAACGTCAGGGGACATGATGGTGCCAGAAGGGGGTTCCGCCAAGTTGGTCTGCAAGGCAAGAGGGTATCCTCCTCCCAAAATTAACTGGCGTCGGGAAGACGGAGGGGACATCATTTCGAGAGGAGGACCACAGGGAAAAACTAAAGGTAAGGATACCTCTTTAAACAATANTAATAATATTTTATCTTAAGTTTAAAAGAGTTCTTAGAGAGTCTTTAAGGTACTATGAGATTATTCTACATTGAGGCACATTAAGTTATATGCACGCTGCTCTTTTCTTAACGATTTATAGTGTTTCTAAAGCATATTAACACGTATGTAAAAAAATCATTTTGTCAAATTAATGTAAGTGTGCTTATCTAATTTATGTCGTCAGTTCAGTCATATCAACATCATAAATAGGGTACTGAAATTAGCACTAGAGTTGCCACGTCCCTACAGACCGGCCTGATTTGGTTACGAATAAATCAGATATCAGGCGGAATAGTAGGAATTTGCCTTAATTCTATAATGGCGTGGTCATTACCCTAGGGTTGTCAATCATCGTAAATGGCAGTCATAGATAATCTTCTTTGCCTCTTCTTTGGACTTGTTAGTGCCTAGGCGTATTCTTTACATTTTGATATTGATTTAATATCAATGAATTATACCATAATAATAGTGATATTTGATTTAACAACGAGATTACTTCTATCCCGAATGACCATAACACAAGGTGCACTGTGTAGTATTTTCGGCTCGAACCCATATTAGTGACATAGCCGAAGGCGCGCTTTTTTCATTATACACTTAAGCTATCAATGGGAATCCTACCACAAATCTAGTTTATTACCCTATCATTTCAGTTATCTATATCTATAAAAGGAAGGTCACTGACTGACTGACTGACTCACTCACTCACTCATCACGAAATCTCAGAAACTACAAGTCACGAATTTTGAATGGGAGTTCTTTTTAGAACGTTGGTGCTCACTAAAACGGTATTTTGCAAAATTCAACCCCAAGTGCATGTAAATCTGTGTTTTTTCCAACAAAACCCTATTATTCCTGTTTACCAGCAAAATCTATCACATCCCTGCATTAAACAGTGGCGTGCTGTGTCCGTGTTATTTACTTTAATTACCCACTCCGTAGTCAATTTAACTGCGAAAATTGCGACATAATTTGTCCGATAAAACTTGCATTAGTTAGCATTGTTACGGTTAACTCCACCCTCGTTTAAAGTTGCCAACTCCATCTTTTGTTGTTTATTTATATTTATTAACTTTTAATAGGGCTGGCTTTATTTAACCGGCGTTAAGGGGAAACTGATGACCACACGAAGTTTTTCTGTTATCACTACTAGTATTTGACCTAGGTCTAATCGTATTTCTAAATAACTGTGTCTGCTACATCGCATGCATGGAAATAGACTTCCAGCCTGTTGTCCATTTGAAAAAAACTTCTTAAATTAAGACTAGATCCAATAAAGGATTTCTACTGCAATAAAATGTCACCACATAACTTTGACAGTAACTTTAACGATAACCGTTGTTTTTTGTATAGGGTTTGACAGATTTTGGCATTTGTCAAAGTTAAATAAAGATGGTGCAACCCAACCTAAGAATTAAATTACTGAAGTGACGACATTAAATTATTAGGTAGCCGAAAATGTTTAAGTTCAAGTTTATTTTTCCAAAGTGCATGTTTACAGTACTTAAGGCTTAAAATCAGCTGGCTGTGTAGACCGGTCAAGTGTGAGAACTAGGTTAGAGCGTTCACGCGCGTAGATTATTCTGCCAGAGATGGGTCAAGCTCACCGCGCAAGTTTTATGAACCTGAGCACACAGAATGCAGTTTCGTATAATTTTAATTAAAATAAAACGAAACACGTGACTCCGCACGCCATTGCGAGTTAGAGCTGTAGTTTTACGAGGTGTGTTCAAGTTATGATATTATATTTGTCTGGTGTAAGGTAAAGGTTAATTTAATTAAATTCGCGGGTTACTTGCTTGATTTAGTTTTTAGTATTCAAAATTTAACATACGTAATATTATAATGTACTTCACATTTTTGTTGTAAGTTAGCAGTTATTATAATTATTAGAGGCCGGTAGATCTATTCTCATAAATAAAACACTGGATACTCATCTTTCACATTATATTGCCTTATTTTAGATACAATTCATCACTTAGCACAAAAGCGCGCGGAGTCATCTCCGCGCGTCCCTCTATTCTGACGTTTGATTCTCGTGTGACATTGACAATACGTCAATGTCACTATGACAGCAGCTCATTGGTTATAACGATACCGCTATTTTAACGTTTTATATTTTTCACAATTAACAGTTCGGCCTTCCTGCAATTCCTTCGCCCTCGAAGGTCTGCTCATGGCACACTTGACGCCTCGTATTGGGATCCAGCTGAGCACCTGGCCAGATCCACTCTGCCATCTCCACCACCATTCGCACCACACACTGACCACCTTTGGTTCTGCTGAAACGAGAAATCATCACACAATACATNAAACTAAAATGGGCATGTTTTTACATGAGTTGTTTGTACTATTATGCTTTGTTCTTACTGGACTAGTTACTGTTTTAATACTTTACATAAAAATAAAATTGCAGCCGTACATCACNTCTATTCTGACGTTTGATTCTCGTGTGACATTGACAATACGTCAATGTCACTATGACAGCAGCTCATTGGTTATAACGATACCGCTATTTTAACGTTTTATATTTTTCACAATTAACATAATTAAACATGATTCCAATGTTTTCATTGTCCGTGAAATGAAGTTATTTAATACAAATAACAATGGAATCATCATTCCAATATAGAAAAGCTTCAAGCCACTTGATACTTAAGAATATCAATTCCTAAACCTTATACTAAGAAATAAGGCGTTACCAAAGAACTCCAAAGAGCGGGTAACAGATAAATCAGCTTAAAATATTCACTATTGAATCTTAGCTGTAAATCACACCACGGCATCTCGAGAGCTATTACCATTCACACCGCCCCCCTAATCCCGCGGGCTTACGGCCCAGACGGACCGGGAATAATTACTAACTCATCTCCTCTCTTCACCATATAAAATTTTTACTAGATTAACATACCTATCCGTGGAACTACTAGATCATTCTCAGTGTACCTACCATGAGTTTACGTTAGGTGTGCTCGCTAGCGAGTACGTCAAAAATCTCTATGAAGATTTTGTTTCTTGAAAGTACCTAGCCGCTAGGGGCGCTGCACAATATGTCATACAATTAATGTCATTTTTTTACGCAGTCGCTAGCGAGCACACCTAACGTAAACTCATGGTAAGCACACTGGTTAACGTGGTGGCAGAAAGCGAAACAAATGACGATCGTAGAATATTGCAATTAGGATCGTTTTAGCGTAACAGCCTTGTATTTTTCTGAGTTCCCGTGTTACTTTACTTTATTCTAAAAAAAAACAATTGAAGAACTATTTATCAATTTCGATACCTACTCAGTTTGATGTGGATGTAAATACAGTGTGAGTGACGTTAAAGTGTACATATGAAAATATATGAAACTAGACCTATTTTTATCGATAAAAAAGAGGTCAAAAAATTTTTGAGATTTTTTTTTTATTTTTTATAGAATTTTTTTTCTTCCAGTTACTTATTGTAAAGAAAACGTAATAACTTTTAAACTCAGCGGTATATCCTGATAAAATAAAAACAGTTATAACGCAAAATAACAGGCGATACTAAAAAAATACATGAAATACCTAGAAAATGCCAAAAAATAATAAAAAATGATACTTTTTGAAAAAAATTTGCTTAAAAATTCGTATTTTTTTGGTTATTTGATAAATTTCTCCAAAAAATGCCCCTATAACAGGTAGTTTTTATTACTTTTTATTATTCTCTATCGTATTACTTTTGTAAAACCAAAAATCGCATGTCTCTATCCCTATCACAACGTTTGCAATGATCGTTTGAACTAAGCCTCTCCGGGCGCGCCATTCAACGCTTCGTTAACAACGGAACTGAAAGGGACTCTAGATTTGTAATTTTGATAAAGACAAGTTAGATTTTAAATAAAAACAAAAGATTTCGAAGTAAAATAAGCATTTGAGTTAAAATTAAAATCGTCTCTACCTGTAGCGGAGAAAAATGTGGTGGCAGGCCTTTGTTCAAACGATCATAGCAAATGTTGTGATAGGGATAGAGACCATGTGATTTTTGGTTTTACAAAAATAATACGATAGAGAATAATAAAAAGTAATAAAAACCATCTGTTATAGGGGCATTTTTTGGAGAAATTTATCAAATAACCAAAAAAATACGAATTTTTAAGCAGATTTTTTTGAAAAAGCATCATTTTTTATTATTTTTTGGCATTTTTTGTGTATTTTTTGTATTGTTTTAGTATTGCCTATTATTTAGCATTATTACTGTTTTTATTTTATCAGGATATACCGCTTAGTTTAAAAGTTATTACGTTTTCTTTACAATAAGTAATTGGAAGAAAAAAAATTCTATAAAAAATTTAAAAAAATTCTCAAAAAATTTTTGACCTCTTTTTTGTCGATAAAAATAGGTCTAGTTTCATCTATTTTCATATGTACACTTTAACGTGACTCACACTGTATATTCCTTTGTTTATATTATTTATTATCTTTTTCTCGGTCAAATCTCTTAAAACAATGGAATTTATTAGCTTTGAGAATAATGGTAAACTTTTCAAATTTATTCAGCATTATTACATTAAATCAACTATTCCAATCGACGTCTGATTGCCACCGTCATCATTAACTCACAATCGAAACGAACAAAAATTATACGGGAGTTTGTGACAAGTGGCAATGGGTGGCGCACTGACAGCGACGATCAATCAGCAGTTTCACTTAACCCGCCGCTGTTCAAACCTTCTCCTGCCATCAGTCAATTCATTAAGCCAACAAAGTACCGTAACGACTACACCGAGCCGAGCACTCGATAGAACTCGACTGGAATCCAATATAAGTAAACAAGGCACCGAGCCAACTTGACGCTGAGCGGGTTTACGTGACCCGGCGAAAGATCTTCAACCACTAAGTTTGAAACTATCCAAATATTATACAAATAGTATACTTAAACATTAACATCAAAACATTAGAAAATATAATAAGTGCCATTTCAATTTCTTACATTGTCATAAATAACTGGACAATTTTATGCGGTGTGCAATAAAGAGCAGATCTAAAATAATGTCTAATACAACGATAAATTATGATGAAATAATAATAGTTACGCCGAATAACTGGCCTGTTAAAGACGTAAACTAATCAGCAAATCAATCATAGTCTGTCTGCAAAGTTATTATTCAACTAGAAACACTATTAAATAAACCACAGAACATTCAAACCAAAAAGGCAATCGAAATTCCGACCCTTTCAATCTCACCTATAACGTGACGCCACGTAACTTTCCAAATTGTCTGTAATTGACCGCGTATCAAGGAAACCCCGGTTTCAAATTAACTGACATCGAAAACAATCATCAATTTGACTGAAGAAGTCTAATTAAAGAAGCCGTTACAAGTTACCTCCATAAATCTGGGCTGGAAACAATACAGGCTATCCATTACGAAGGCCAATGTTTCTCCGCTTAATATTCCGATGAGGAAAGTTCGAGAGGCCCGACTCGACAAATATAGTTTTTTAATGAACGGGCTCTTTCAAATTTGTTATCCCCGAACTTAGTTACGTCAAATAAATCACTTTAAGTGCAAGCCTTGTTTTGCAGCTTCTTTGATAAATGTATGCGAGTTCAAGTAAAGTGAATCAATCATTTGGGAAATACTTATGTATTCGTTGTCGGTAACTACTAGTAATACTAAAGGAATTTTATTCAGTCACAAAAATAAGTATGAAGACTTCAATAACTTAAGTTGACCAGTAATTGATCACACAACCAACCAATAAAAAATATGCTCGAGCGTCTAATGTCTAATAAATATTGACTTATTATTACTTCAGTTATTAATTTTTTATTATAATTCTGAAAAAATATGAACATAAACGAAGCCACAGATTTGAATTTTCCAGAATATAAATAAAAACTATCAAACATCTCCGGATAAGATATTCATGGGACGAAAGAGAGAACAATAATAATAATGCCCGCAGACAGTAGTGAACAAAGGGTATTATTCAAAATTCGCCCTTTATTGTTTCGCATAAAACATATTCCGCTGACAACGGCGTGTCGCGTGCCTATTTGTTTCATGTTCTACAGCAAATTATGCAGATAAGCGAATGAATGGCGGAAACTTACTCGTGGCGGGACCCGGCGAGAACAGGCTGTCAAGTTTATCTGAAAAAATCGGATTAATACGCAAGTAACATTTGATAACTACGCTTTCTGAGGATAAAAAGCGTACATTAATGACATAAAATATGCTACGGTTACATGAAACATACACATTCTGCATGACCATAATATTATGGTCTACCAAATTGCTACGACTACGAGTCCACTCCATCCGTAGACAACTACAATATATTTATCGTTTCGTAGGCTGCTACGACTTTAGTAGTGACTACGAATGTCCTAATATGTCATAATGCGCAAATTGCGTTAACTAACTATACTGTTATTATAGCTAACGCTATTCAATTGTATATGTAGGCAACAATATTTGCATGATATTTTCTATAGTTGTGTGAAATGATTTGGCCGTTTAACACTTAACTGTGCCCTAGACTGATGCAAATTAACTCCGCCATCTTTCTATTCGGCGCTTTCATCTGAGAAGTTTGAAACAGATACAGCACTACCCGACCCGCCCCGCTAATCCCCATTATCAAATAACTTGAATATTTAATAACAATTTTTGAGTTCGAAGGGAATGTTTGCACGAATCAGTTGAAGGCTTTCATGGGCTGCCCAATTATAAGGAAATCCATTAAGACTTATCTATTTCCATGGCTAATTAAATTCGCCTTCGCGAGGGTGGCACGGGTACCGTAATAGAAAATAATAATTACCAATTCGGTACAACACTTTTCAAGTTCTTAATTAAAATTATAACTTCGGAACAAAGAGTGATGAGAAAATATTGCTTTTCCATTTCACTTGAGGACTCGTCGGGACTAGAGAGTAGATTTTCCTCGCTTAACGTAGATCTCAGTAAATATTTGACACGTGATATAATAACATTAAACCAACCAAGATGTTCCCTTTGGGATTGTAATAAGTCTTACTTATTATACAAAAAATATATTTAAGAAAGTACTACCTTTTATCGTGAAATCCATTTATCCTCCTTCCTTTTACGTGCTCATTTTATTTTTGAAAGGTATCTTTAGTGATTTTTTAGGTTAAGCTTAATTTATTAGAAATATTATTCTAAGGAGGATAAAACTGTTTGTGTGAGAAGCCAAACAAATACAAGCGGACAGTGTTGCTAGACTTCAATCTTTTATTATGATTGATCTATTACCAAATCATACTGTGTTTATTAAAAAAAGAAACTGGCCCTTGTTGTCACCTGAAGTAGGTAAGATCCTTTTGCCAAACATTCGTTCGTAGGAACACAACTTAAAGTGCAAACATTGTGCTCACACCATATTTCTTTTCCGGCACTCCGGTCAAGTCAGCGTGTTCGTACGTCTATGGCGAACCACTACAGTCCGCGGGAGCGTCACTTGACTTATGACACATCGACAGGCCAAGTTTATTCAACGGCCCGCCTCGAGACGGCACACAAACTACGTGGAGACTCCCCAGACAGTTTATTATAACTTTTATATTTGCGCTTCCGAAGTATGTAAAACAACGCTTATAAAGTTTATGTTCAGTTCAGTTGCATCCGCAGTATGCGCTGGGAAATGTTACGATGTAGAGACACCCAAAGATTTTAAATTGATAATGTCAATGTGATGATGGCTTAAGCATTACAATAGTTTTTATACTGCAGTATTTAATTCTTATTTAGTACTAATATCGCTTAAAATTATGTACAAAGTTTTGTATCATTTTAAAACAGTTAAGTAAGTGTTACTGCTACATAGATGGTTTGTTCAGCATTATAAGCTTTACTGTTGTTTCTATTAAACTACAACAAAGCCCCGCACATTATAGTTTAATAACGGTAATTACTAAGCGAATGTAAAAAGGTATTTGAAATTCGGTAAAACCGTCCTTTTAAAATTACACAAAAATCCCGGCCAAATTTTGTAATGACAAGCGGGACCACTCGACGCCTGTCGCTGTCCGCGCATTGTTTGCTAACGAAGCGGCCGAGCTCGAGGGCTCTACACTTTAAACCATCAACCTTCAGCTCCTTCGGAAAATATTGCCCCAGCTTTTTATCCTCTTGTTTGAATAATGGCTGTAAACGTACTTGGGTGCCATTTGAGCAAGGTGTCAGGAAAACAGCTCGAGTACAAACCACTAACGGCGGTTGTTTACGGAACCCGTCAACTTTTGCGAGGAGTGTTTTCTAACACTCGAAATGCGAAATGTAAAGCAAGCACTAGAGTGGATAGTGTAAACGACTTCGGTTGATTTTTGAATTCAGGAAAGTTTAATTTAAAGGTAGATGTTTTCATAGGATGTCAGTGAAATGAAATCAATGCATACCAGTTTGTGTTATTGAAAATTATCAAAACCTAGTAACCTATGTATTCATTTAAACGTAACATTCGCTTATTTCAAAACAAAACGCAATCGATATTTAGGTGTGCCTTTGCATTAAATTCAAAGATTTTATTGAAAGAAGAATAACAAGAAATCTTAGCATAAAAATTCTCACAAAAATAAAGAGAATACCAATTTAGCCGAATTTTGATTCGATCTCTTTTTCAGTACGGTTAAACAAGTAAGTTAATACAATGAGGTTCCTGAAGTAAATAAAATATTTTAATTTTATATCAAAACAACTACTGACTGTCTTTTCAATTTTAAATTACCAGTGAAAACTCATAGGCTTGTGTAAGACTTATTATTTTTATTCTACATGTATCATAATATAAGCTGTATGTTTTCCTAATAAAGAAAAATAAAAAATAAAATAAAATACTGACTGTCCACAACTTATCTCACGCCAAATTCTGGTCCGTTAAATAAAGTTTGGAATGCCGTTTCACCCCAATTACAGTTGATTAATCTTTCATATCGCAACTTTCAAAAGACCAGGAAATTGATTACAATTTCTGATTCTGGATATTATCTGCCTTAAGGAAGAGAAAATGTTAATCACGCAATATAAAAAAAATGATTTTACACCTACCTACATAGCTATCATACTCATTTTGTGAATAGGTATCAACTTGCACGAGGAAGTCTATTATACAAAATTCTCTCAAAGAAACTACTTTTACTGGGCAAATCGAAAACCAAAAATGTTACAAAACATGTACCAAAAAAGAGGCTACTTGAGTTAAAATTACGGGATTTAAACCATCCAGGTAATATAATGCCAACAAAATGTAACAATAACTTTAAATGTTTTTGTCCACAGTAACATCAATAGAGGGCGAAATCGTGAACCTCACGAAAGTGACGCGATCAGAGATGGGAGCGTACCTCTGCATCGCCGCCAACGGAGTACCGCCCTCCGTCAGCAAGAGGATAATGCTGCATGTACATTGTAAGTAACACTTTTTTAATTTGTGTTACGATGTGTCAAATTGTCTAAAGATTTATTTATTTATTTATTTATTTATTTATTATTTCTCCTTTAAGGTTACAGATAGCGTCAAATGTTCGTGACACCCAAAGTAGCCAAAAACTTCGCAACACGTCTTTGTTAGAATGTGAATAAGGTTGTGTTGTCAACTTTGGCCACTTTTTGGGTGTCACGAAATATTTGACGCTGCGCTGACTGTACAGACGACGACATGTCAAGATTGTGGTATCTTGTGTTAGTAAGGAAATAGAGCCGATATTGCAACAAAAATGTATATTCTGATGTGCTGTCCTCTATACAAGAGCAAAATGCATCGCCTCTTGTAGTGTCGGATCTTGGACCTACGCATTTAGTATTGCTTTAATGTTAACTTCTCAGAAAAAAGTTAAGCTATTAGATGTTTAGTAACTCTGTGAGTGTCACCCACCACAATAAGGAGATAATTTTGCACGTACTGCACGAATAATTAGAGTTGGAAAAAATATTTATTCATTAACATCCTGGGAAATTACACGAGTTTTCTAGATAGAACCAAATAATTTATTACGCTGTCTTAATCATAGGAAGTCTCAAAAAAGCCCAGCGTGAATAATTTCCAGAATCTTGTGTAAAGTTTCAATAGATAATTAATAAAATAAATCCCAGTGCCGATATCAAAGCTGCGAAACCATAAAACACTTTAAAATTATTCCAATTAAGTTGCTTCGATAGACTGAGTATCGATTAAATTAATAACTCTAAATTGAATAGTAATTTTCATACTAATGGTAGTCACGACCGATATAAAGCATCGAATTTGAATTCAAAACATGAATCAATTGGTCCATCGATAAAGCGTATTCACCTGCGTGGGGGCAAAAAGCGGTTTGACACGACGCGAACTTACTTATCGGCCGATCTCGAGCTTAGGGTTGTTCGATGATTTAGTTCCAGAATATCGATGTCTGGAGATGGTAATCTGAGGAAGTTGCGCAGATAATGTGAATTAGTTAAAGTAGATGTGAGTAAGACAATCTGTGTTACTCAAACACACTGGTAAAGTTTTGAAGTGTTAATAGTGAGCTCCAGTGATCTACTTCAAATATGATGTACGTATTTGAGTAATGTAGGAAGACATAACTTATGACGTCGTTGCATAACAGTGCAATAATAATTGAGATGTGTAATGTGTATGCCCATCTAATTGGCTTTAATGCTTTTCCAAAGTGAATAGATACAGGGTGACTTTTGTATCAGTATCCAAATTTTTTCCTGACATTAGGTATCGTTTATAGATGACATTTTTAATAAAAAATAGGTAGGTCAAATTTTAACATCAACTATTTTTTTCCTAACCAATTAATCACGTAGTGTGGTTGCGGTAACCACTTAGCGCGTAAACATTGTGCGGGAGAGCTGGTCGAGCGGAGAGCTGGCAACGTGTGGCAACNTGATGTACGTATTTGAGTAATGTAGGAAGACATAACTTATGACGTCGTTGCATAACAGTGCAATAACAATTGAGATGTGTAATGTGTATGCCCATCTAATTGGCTTTAATGCTTTTCCAAAGTGAATAGATATACCTTCTTAATACATTTTTGTTCCTTGTCAGTGTCACTCGGTCACAGTTAAAAAACTGAAGAATTTGTTTTTTGTATTGAATAAAATACCTACTAAAAACTACAAAAGTCAAACTGTTCAATTCGCCGCATTATCCATTGTGGTATAACACCAAACATCCCTATCACCCTAATTTATAAGCGGGAGTTATTCAACGCTGTCGGGACGACTCGACGGCTCGCACACGTAAGCAATTGGGAGATTTTCGTGTTATCACGTATCATCTTCGGCGCGTGCCGAGCATTCGAATTGAGCCGAGCGAATGTTTAGTGAAACTTACCGATTTTGACCCGAGTTTGTGTTTACTCGAGCGATGGACTCGAAACTTAACGGTCTTGTTTGATCAAAAAATTTGAATCTCGTTACGCTATCTTCAATCAGCATAACTAAGGATATCGTGAATAATGCCTGAGATTTGCATGAACTATTTTAGTATGAATTTTAATGCCATACTGAACTTTATTAATATTGTTCTTCTGAGCTGCGAGCGCACATAAATCTGGAATAGATACTTTTTAATGATTTTAGGTTAATGTACTGTAAGAGTGTCATCTATACTTATAATAAATCTGTAGAGAGATCAATTCTGTACATGAAATATATTTTCAAACTAACTATCAGGGGGTGATTAGTGATCGATACTGATGCCAAAAATGCAATCAGTAAATTTTTTGTCTGTCTGTCTGTCTGTGTGTCTGTCTGTCTGTCTGTCTGTTCCTTATAGAAACTAAAAGTACTCGACCGATTTTAACGAAACTTGGTGCAATTATTCTTCATACTTCTGGGCAGGTTATAGTATACTTAGGAATTCCCACGGGAACGGGAATTAGCGGGAAAATCTCTTTGTATGAAAAATCTAAACCGCTAAAGTTAGACGCTTGAAATTTGGGATGCAGGTACCTTAGTAAACTTAAAGCTTAGTTACAACAGGATATTGCAAAATTCCCACGAGAACGGGAGATAGCGGGAAAAAACATTTGTATGCAAAAGTGCGTAAAATCTAAACCGCGTATGATAGATGAAGGGGGTGAAACGGGATCCACGCGTACGAAGTCGCAGGCGGCCGCTAGTTTACAGTAAACCTACTAACTCTACTCACAGTTCGACCAACCAAAAAAGTCTTTGATTTTTCACTCATTCGTAAAAGGTCAACTGATTTATACAATGCTTTTTTATCATATTTTTTAAGTCTATCACGTCTGTTATTGGTATCGACGGTTCGTCTAAATCTCCAGGGAATCAATTGCTCTATTTTGTTCGATCGATCCGTAATCTGTGTTGTCCAAATAATAATAAATAATAATAAATAAATAAAATCATTTATTTCCCCTCACAAACTTAGGTTAAATTACATTTGGTAAAAAATACATTACGCTATAGGTACTTAATACTAAGTTTGTGTGGGACTGGTGCCTGAAATAGGTTTTGTTTAAAACCTGTTCTACAGGTCACCAGGCCCCCACCCGTGGAATATTATAAGGTAGTATAGCAGTAAGACCCTTAAGTGCGATAGTTTGCGAAAACAAATTGATGTTTGCCTGTTACTTTAAAATAAAAAATAAAAATGTATTTTTAAATATTCTAATGTTTGGTACCAGGGACGTTTTAATAAAAAATCTAACTAATTTAATAAGAGCTCTCAGTAACTTCATTCTTTTGATTTCTGACTCGGTAAGCCTACCTATCCAAATTATTCAGACTTTTATTGACAAATTGTGTGTAATTGTGGGAAGGTAAAAGAAATGTTTAGGACCACTGCGTGAAAGTACATAAAGTACAATATACCTACCTACCTTACAATTAAATTATAGCTCGCTTAGAATATCAAGATGTGAATTGTAATCGTACGTGAACAAAACTGATACCATTACAAGTTTCAATACATATAATACGCAGTCCTACAATGCAGCAAATTTTGAAATATGACCTAGTTTTAACATCCAATAGCGTTGCGAAAGTAAATATCGATATCGACATGACAGCACTAGGACACTCGCAAAATCTGTGCTTTGGACAGTAGGGACCGCACGTACATAGTGGCATACATGCTCATTTCCATCTGCATGGGTAGCGCCGTACAACTGGGGATTGACGTTGCAACATTTCATGAATTCGAAAACTCGACCGTAACTAATTTCGGAATTTGATTTCTGTGTCGGTGTCCTCTAGGAAAAGGGGACATGGGATTGCACGGTAAATGTGATACTCTTTGTAAAATGTAATTCAATTTTAAAGCTTTTCTACTGTATTATTATGAAAGAGATAATTTAGTTGCGCTTTGTGTGTTTTTATGTAGGTAGTGATCTGTAATGATTTAGACATTTTGCTGAAAAAAGCTACACTTTACGCTACAAGTGAAAAAATATGTCTGTAATGCCATGCCAATAACGCTACTGAAAAAGTTTAAAAGTGTCATAAGTAAGTAAATTAAAATGAGATCAATAAAATAAATGACATAAAAAAACATTTCAACTTTTCTGATGAAATCTTCATTATGAACCGCCAAAATTCGGTAAACACTAGTACAGTGTGCTTATTATTCAAACTTTTTAATTAAGTTTTATTGATTGGCCTTTCCAGTTGCGGGTTCGGTTGAACACGGAAGTTTTTCGCAGCTCGTCCGCGTAGTCCGGATAGTATTTGCATTCTGTTATTGGCAGTCGGTGTAAACACTCGTCTGATTGAACAAATATCTATAAATAAATCGATAACACATTTAAATGCACATCACTAAATCTCTGTGTGATTTTTAAATGAATTGATTAGGTTAGTTTATTTATTTGAGAGGCTTAAATGTGTATAAAGTTTTTAATATTCAAGCATGTAGGTACATAATTTGCCAGTTTAACAACTTTATTAGAAAGTTATTGCAATTCTAAACCAATTGGTCTTAAGTATCTTAAGAATTTATTTTTAAAGTAAATCAAATAAACGTCCCGTCGCAACAGCACACAGTGAAAGAAACACCAAATAAAAGAGTACGAAAATGAATAACATGAATCGCGAATTTTTATCAAGATTTTCCTTAAAAGGCCAACAAAAGTAATCGAGGTAGGACAAGTGATTCCGAGTTCATTTCGCCACCCACAAGTGGCTACGGCAAATAGACAGTTATAGCTACGACGACTTGGCGACAAGCGCTTAAGCGGGAGAAATTCACTTCATAGGAAACGCAATTTCAAGCGAACAAACAAACTACTGCCGTCTGAAACCCTTCCACTCAGTTTAATTACTTCACAAAGAATGCGTCGCGTTCGCTCGATGAGGAGACAAAATTAACGCTCTCAAATATTTAATTTAAATTTCCCCCCCGAAAACGAATGATAACAGCGGTCGTGCAGACTTGCGGCCGCTTACGGAACATAAAAAACACTTTTTTAGACCCGCAAGAGTGAAGCAATTCATTTGTAACAGTAAGTGCTTCGTAACGCGATGAGTTTCTTTTAGTCGATCCACAGGAACCGGGGAGACGGCAAATTGAGTTTAGAGAAAAAAGAAACAGCAAGCGAAGTGAACAAATCGCGATCAATTTGCACAGAATCCAGCTCGGTGTAATTAATTTCGGGATGTTTTCTTTAATGTTTGTTTTGTGACTTTCGCGTGAATGCGAGTGTAAACTGTTCTGTTTAATACCGTTTGTTGGCGTAAAGCATTTGACTTGCTAGATAACTAAAATACGCAGTCGCTGAAAATGCCAAGAAATCCGAAAACGGGCGGAGCGTGTGCGCCGCTCGGTTAATCAAACTGTCACTTCAAGAATTCCGCGCGGAATCCTCCCCAAGAAAACTCACCGTAACTTTTGATTGCCGCCGCGGATACCTATCTACTTATACATTTTAGAGATTACTTAATCACTTTCTTAACTTATACTTAAATAGAAAAGATTCCGCTCTTCATAATATTAGAACGCAACCGGACTATTTCAATCAGATTAACATTCCGTCGGTTCATTATTCCGCCTTATTTAATAAGCAAAAGGTTGCCCTCGGTATTCGCTTATTAATTAGAACAAAAATTCTGATCGTTCAGATTTTGTTCGCTAAATTGGCCACTCGAACTCGTAAAAGCCGTCCAAAGGAACTTAACGACGCGGTCAAAGAGAATAACCGCAAATAAGCTCCGATCTAAGCCAAGAAGAAAATTCCGTTTTCCTTAATTCACCCTAAACAGAGTTCGGGGGATGTCGGCACGATTGTTTACATTTGAGAATAATCCGTTCTTTTTAAGAACGACTTTAAGCGGTAATCCCTTTGATGCATGCCGTGTCAGTTTCAACTGCGGCTTTGTAAACGTTTCTTTTACTGTTAAATCTTGTTTTACCTACGTAACGTCTATTTTATGTAAAGTAGATAAATCTTGTAAAACAAAGATACTGTGTTATGTAATTACTCGATTTTTTCGTGTTACTTTTGATATTTTTATGAAACATACCTACTCGTATGCAGATTTTATATTTGAAAAAATCACAATCAGACCCTCCACGTTCGCGCTAAACATTATGAGTACTAACTAGCACTCGTTCGTTTCAACCCAAAGACGTCCACTGCTGGACAAAGGACTCGCCCAAGGATTTCCACGAAGACCGGTCATGCGCCGCTCGCATCCAGGCACCTCCCGCGACCTTCACCAGATCGTCGGTCCACCTAGTGGGAGGCCTGCCCACGCTACGTCTTCAGGCCTCCCACTAAGTGCTAGCACTAATTGGTCCATTCTAAATTGTCTTTAAGCACTACCTTATTATGTTGAGACACGAATTATCCTTCGGTTCAGCGAATGTGATAGTATGTAGAGAACATAGTATACTTAGTACCTATTTGCTTGAATATTCCCAGTTGGGTAATGTTCAAAGTAAACACGTGACTGCCGCGAAGTGCCGAGGCGCATCTTCGTGCAAACACTGCGTCAGCGACGCGAAAGATACACTTTACCCTTAACTTTTTGTAATTTGGGATCTCTACGTGTTTATTACTTTTGACGTTACTAATTTTAAAAAAGACGATGTTATGAATTTAGGGTGGCCTTTGCTGTATAATCTAATTCTACTTACGTTGTACTATAAAAGCTGTTTTTATGTATAGTATTTGGGGAATTAATAGAAGTTGTTTCCTGATAGTTTTGACAGTTCCAACTCCTTGCCAGACAATATTTTGTGGGTAGCTGCCAAAGCCACAATGACCCAAACTTCATGATGCACCTACAACTACATTCTATCCTACTTATATTGGGAGCATACGCTGACAAACTTTCAGCTTTTATAAAATGACGTAGGTCTGGCGTTCACCAGCTCTTAGTCTATACCCTATGTATTACATTAAGTATGGCGATGCAAATAAATATCTACCACTCTCTTTTCTTACAAAGAAAATTTAGCATCTTAACTACTTTATATTATTCCACAAAATATATTTAAATCAAACCAGCCGCGTTATGAAATTTGCTCATGCAGCAGTATTTTACAATACCACATTCCAAAGCATAAGAAACTATATTTCACACAGCGGAATGTCTAAATTTTACTTATTCCCGCAATCGTTTTGGGGCGAAAAGCGCTTTCAGTAAGCATATTATGAGCATTCAGTGGGCAAATCCGCGGGGTTTTGCTTGCACACATTGGGCCAGTGCAAGTAAACACTGGAAATGTGGAAGGAAACCGCGAAATGTGACTGCAATAGAGCTATTTATGGTTACATTTTCATGTGCCTAGGGATATGAATCATATTACATTAAACTACTCTTTGTGGTTTTGCTTATAAAAATATTTTATTCAGACTGCTTCGTGTTATGTCTGAATTAAAATTGTTACGATACGGTTTTGTGTTCTTTTTGTTCTGTTTAACGGTAGGGTAACTCATATTATAATTAAAATTATTTATTTTTATTGAGAAACTCAACAGCAATTGTACAATCACATGGTTGAAAACATTTAATTAGAGACACTTATGCCCTATGTTTTCACCATCAATCCCTAATTTAAGTGACACCTATGAAAACAAAATTCCTGTTATGTGTTACAATAGAGGTCATTTTAACAATTAGGGATTGATGGTGAAAACGGGCACTAGCCAATTACTGAGTTTCATAACTGCTACAAATTCAAGCAAGGTAAGTCTAGAACTAGGTTTATTTAACAAAATTAATTACTTAACGCACCGTAATAATATACTCGTAGATTTAAATGATTTAAATAATTTAAAATCAACCTAATCTATGGCTTTTTGTTGCCAGTTCATCCTCTGGTGCAAGTGCCGAATCAGCTGGTAGGAGCGCCGACCGGCACTGACGTCACTCTCCAGTGCCACGTCGAAGCCTCGCCCAAGGCTATCAACTATTGGACCAGGGAAAATGGTAAGTCCTGGACTTTACACCTCACCACATCGCATTCAAGTCTTCTCTAGGCTCCAATTCTCGTGGAGTAGCGCCAACAGGCACTGAAGTCACTCTCCAGTGCCACGTCTAGGCCTTGACCAGTGGAAATGGTAAGTCTTGGACTCTACACCTCACTGATCGCTAAGTATTAAGCTCTTCGTTCTCTGGGCTCCAATTCTCTTGGAGTAGCCTGGATGAACTCGGAGGGAAAATGAGAATAAAACCACAGCAGAGCTAACCGCTCTGTATAGCAAAGTCCCGTCCTTTCTAAACTCATAAATAAATACAGGGTGTTAGGTAAATGGGTATATGAGCCGACACTACCCCATGTTAACATGGGCATATAAATAGTATGGTGAAGTCAGAAAATTGATATCTTCATTTTAATTATTTTAATTTTCATACAAATCGGATTTTATGAAATTTATTTTGTAAGAAAATTAAAAAAATTAAAGTGATGATATCAAATTTCTGACTTCACCATACCATTTATATGCTCATGTTAACATGGGCTAGTGTCGGCTCATATACCCATTAATCTAACACCCTGTATAAATTCAGTACAGAGCTTGAAGAGCCAACTCTACTCCTGCTCTAGCCGTGGTACTGAAATATTGTATATAAACGAGTATATGTATTTTAAAAGTGTAAATAAGCTTGATTGTATGTAATTAGTATACTCGTGTCACTACCTATCTAATAAGCTAATTAGGCGAAGTTTGTGTAAGTTAAACAGAGTTAGCATGTTCACAAACTTGATGAATATGTCGCGTCTTAATCATATAATTTGACTAAAAGTATAAGAAGTAAATTGCAAATAATACTGAAAAATGCTGATGAATTACCTCGTGACATCACTTCGAGAATTTGACCTTTGTACAAGTAACTCTCTTGACTCGACAAGTGTAATAATATTTTGTGGAAAATTTGCATTTTCTAATGTTATTTTCCTTATAGAAATTACGATTACTGTTTTTGTAACATAAAATAAAACCTAACTTAATTTAAACATTTCAAGCAAAAACAGTGTTTCATACCGCCACAGCACCCAGCTTCAGCGACTAGTGATCTCATAATATCTGGTATCGGATCGTGCCTGCCAGTCAACCCTAAATAATTTCCTTGCGGTCGAAAATACGGCAGAGTACAATGTGCCTCGATGATATTCCCTGGCAATTTTTAACACCTGTTTTTAAATTGAGGTTTTTTGTAAAAAATAAAAATCACGTGACAGTAATATACTTATTTTTATAGGCTAATTAATAGGTATCTAATGAATCGTTTCAAAGAACCTGAAAATCTGAAATTTTTAGAGCACGGGCTATACAATCGAAAGATAAGTGGGTCTAGACAAAGTGCAAATTATAATCGCAAACCAGTCGCAAAGTGGTCGAAAAACCCCTTTTTAGGNTTTTTTGTATGGAGTTTTGACGGATTCGATTTTCGATTCGATCAAAAAGTGCGTTTTGTCTAGGGGGGAAGGTTTGATAAAGGGTATTAATTAATTAAACTAATTTGAAAATGATATTATTATAATTTTACGGAAAAGTTTTGAAAAACGTGCCATTTTAATAGCACATTATTATAATACCTGTCTAAAACACTGATGCTAAGAGTGAAAATTGGGTGTATTTACATAACTAGTACTATTTTTATCGCAACACCCGTTTGTCTAAGTAAAATTAGGTGCGGCGGATAACTGTTTACGTTCGCCTCGTAAACTATAAGCTTATTAAGTCCCAAGCACGAACCTCAAGAACGGAATGAGCAACTAATTTCATTATTCATAAAGCATATTGAAAGCGTTAAAGCACTCATTAAACTGGCCGTTATTCATAATCCGAATACCTTTCTTGACAGCCAGCTAGTCCACGCTTCAGCCACTTTTATTACGTATTTAAAGCAAAAATTATGCTGTTATTTCATGTCCGTTTTTCATTTCACGCTGATTTATTTTGACTTTGATTATACGGCGTCGATGTTACGGCCTATTAACGACCCCATAATTATGCCAAGATGACAACGTGAAATATAGCTGGAATTAATAAGAGGAAGCAACCGTTATAACTTTAAAATATTGCGTGTGATAATCCCTTTATCCGTCTTTTAGCAGCGAAGTATGCGATAAAATTCATTATCTGATTGTTAAGTGGGTAACTTATATTGAGCAAATTGTATGCTTAAATACTCGTACAGAGAGATATTTATGTTTCTCATACAATTTTAACCACGATATTTACAAATCATAAAATGACAAAAGTTTGAGCATTCTAGCAGAGATAACGCTCAAAATCCAGTAGTGAAATTGGACATTTCATAATAAAGAGATTTTTAGTTAAGTACTATACTTCTACAAAATATCCGTGTCAAAATTTCAAGAGAAAACATAGAACCTCATCATACCCCACTTTAAACGGGAGTCAAGTTAAAACCACAAAGTGAACTCAATAAAACCACCTGCTAACTAATACAAATAAGGCTCTTAACCTAACAAAACATCGGAGGGGTCGAGAACTTCATTATTTCTCATTAAAATGGCGCCCTCTGGATAAAAGTTGCTTATTTAGTGCTCGGGTGACATATGGACCAGAGTCCTTTGTGAGAGTCGAGAGATAAGCATAATATTTATTTTACAATGCTTCGTTAAAAATACTATGTCGCTGAAACTAGCTCTCATTATACTAGAAATAGGGGACTGTACTTTGACCAATGTTATACCTACTCGTACAAGAATGAGTCTAATTCTGGCTTTCCTGCTGTGCGAAATAGAAACGCATGGACTTTAGTAGATCCTTTTCGCTAACTTTGTGTGACTTAAAATACATTTCGGCTTGCGGCTGAATAGCACTTTGAGTCCAGTGAAGATTTTTACTAAAATAAAATATTATTTTGATTAAATTGGCATTAAACATAAAGATAATTATTTATATTTACCAGAACATGTGTGACAATATTGCAATACAATAATATATTCGCATTTAATTTTGATTTAGTAACAGCTTTATTTTACACTAGCGGCCGCCCGTAACTTCGTACGCGTGGATCCCGTTTTACCCCCTTCATCTATCTTACTCGTACGCGGTTTAGATTTTTTCATGCAAATGTATTTTCCCGCTAACTCCCGCTCCCGTGGGAATTTTGCAATATCCTGTTGTAACTTAGCTTTAAGTTTACTAAGGTACCTGGCATGCCAAATTTTAAGCGTCTAACTTAAGCGGTTTAGATTTTTCATACAAAAGGATTCCCGTTCCCGTGGGAATTCCTAAGTATACTATAACCTGCCCAGGAATATGAAGAATAATTGCACCAAGCTTCGTTAAAATCCGTCGAGTAGTTTTTGTTTCTATAAGGAACATACAGACAGACAGACAGACAGATAAAAATTTTACTGATTTTTGGCCAGTATCGATCACTAATCACCCCCTGATAGTGTTATTTTGAAAATATATTTCATATACAGATTTGACCTCTCTACAAATTTATTATAAGTATAGATGATCAGGCAATATGTATGGATACTATTTTATTTTTAAAATTCAAAATTTCAGGTGGTTCAAATTATTGTAACATTGCAAAAGCTGGTTTTTCCAGGAAAAATACTGATTACAGTTATTATAAAATAACTGTAAAACTTGGTTAACTACAAACCGCACGAAAAAAGCATAACTTTAGCCTTATTTTATCGCAATCAACCTAGTTTTAAATGGATTTGAGCAATTGAAAACAGGTTTATTTAAAAAAAAACATTGCCTATATTTTTCACAGCTTAATCGTAAAAAAAGTTTTTGTGACTAAATGTGCGTTTTGTGTTAACAGACAATAGTTTAAACACACTAAAGACATCAATTTTCTACAGTCAGAAATAAACACAAACAGAACGTTTTAGATTTTTAATTTCGTCCCTTTTAGAATTTGAATAAGTTATACCAGTTCCATTTCAAAATAATCAACTCAAAATCTAGTTTGGCTTGAAACATATGACCGGCAGGCGCAGTGCATATATGTATGCATTTTCCTAATTTCCGTTGTTGACGCTATCCTAAAAATATACGTTACATATGAATGCACTCAACATCCATGGGACGAATTACGGACACTAATTGTTTATTTTTTACATCTTAAAGTTTAGATATTATGTTAAGGTTAACTGTTAATACTATTTTATGTTATTTATTTATTTTTCTTTATTCAGAAAATTACAGCTCTTTATAATATTAACAGGTATGTTTATAGTTCTTTCTGCCTAAACAAACAAAACTGTTTTTACTAGATAAACAAAGCCTTATGTTCCACTAACAATAACATTTCGATATCCGGTTTTTCATAATATCGAAAATATGCCTTCATCATTATCATCATCTCAGTTATAGTACGTCCACTGCTGAACATTCCTCCCCCAATGCTTTCCATGTTGCCCGGTTGGTAGCGGTCTGCGAAAATATGCCTTTATTTCAAAAATCATTAATTACAGCAATAAAATACTTTTAATCAAACACAAATAGAATCCCCATTTCTTTATTCTAATTCACAATAAAATATAATATCGAATGCGCCTAACTAAATGCAGTATTAACGCCAAAGTACAACGGCAATATCCACCCGGAACGTTGCAGGCAGTGGGCAGCGCGACAACGCGTTACTAAACTCGAGTTAGCAATGGATTTACGACGTCCGCGCCCGCGACATGTGTGAAGCCCACAGCTGCCCGAGGGCGCAAAACGTACAAAACTTTTTCGCAATGCGGTCTTTAAACTAATATTTTTTGTCGGTCTAATCGAACAGTTTATGCGGTCGAGAGCGCCGCACATTGTGAGTTGGCGACGGAAATTGAGACTGAATCGGTCGAGTACACTCCACTCGTATCTGTGAAACGCAGACGGTACATGGAAACGGTTTTCATGTGATTTCATTTCATGTTTGGTTCGGCTCTTGCAAACATTTGAAACTTTTGGTGGTAAATGTAGAAAGGTGTAATGATA